TTGAATTTAAGGTAGTTCGTGAGGATACTTCGAGTGAGGATTTTGTTGATTTTACTTTCCATTTTCCTTGAGTCAGGCCAATTAATATTCAAGTGTTTTTGGTATTTAAAACATTTTTAAAAGAACAATAATACTTCGTGTTCTGCCAGGTGGTCTCAATTTCCTCTCCCTGTCTTCCCTAATTTCTTTTTTGATATCCTGCCATGTATATATTGGGAGGATTGGAGTATTGCGTGAATTTACCGCCTGTTTAGCCAAAAAATCTGCCCTTTCGTTGATCTCAATGCCTTTGTGACCGGGTATCCAACAAATTATTATCTTACTATTTGGCATGTTTTTTGTAAATTTCATATCGAATATTCTCAATTATGTTGTTATTTGAATCTTCGAAGGAGGCAATAGCTTCCACTGCCGCAAGACTGTCAGTGAAAAGTGAAAATTATCGTCGCTTCGGAAAGGTTAGCTAGATATTTCAAAATGTACCAAATTGCTGAAACTTTCCGCGGTGTATATAGAAGCATTTCTTTCAATCTTGATGGCTCTGTTAACGGTATTTTTTAGATTGGTTATTCCAAAACCAGTTCCGTCCAAATTTTTGGGAACCGTCTGAGCCCCATACGTTTTCTGCTTTAACACCTGCAGTCAAATTTTTAATAAAAGGAGCGTAATCAGTGACAAAATCGTGGAGATTCTTTAAATCGATGTTACAACAATTTACTAAAGTCTATCCAAGGCGGAAGGAATCCGTTTCTTTTGCCGGACAACGTTCTTATCTAAAATCCATTTAGATTCATAGCTGTCAAGATCAGCTCTTAAATCCTTTACTTTCTTTCTTAAACCTTCCGCCTCTAGTGGCGGGGAAAAAATAATCGGCTCTCTGAAATTTTTTATTTATGACAGATAATATTCTTTTGCCATTTTTTTTATCTTATTGTAATGCGGAATTGCTGCAATTCTCCTAATAACATCGTTGGGAGCAAAATGACTTACCCCTAAGGCTTTTCTAATCGCTTTATTGATGTATATATCGTACTTATTTTGGGAGGAGATATATTCTCCCCATCTGATTTCACATCCGTATATGAGTTGGGGAATCATGATTTGCTGGATGATTTTTAGTAAGTTTTTCGTTCTCATTCCTTGAGTTGGGTGGGAGAGGATTTTGATCAAGTTTAAAGTGTTATTTAATCTTTTAAGTAGATAAGCTTCGTGTGCACGCCAACTGAGATTGTGTTCGAAAATAACGCCAAGTATTTTATGCTCTTTTTTCCATCCAATACTGAGATTACCTATTCTGATGGGGGAAGAGTATTTCTTTCTTCCTCTTGAAAAGTCAATTAGTGTTGATTTCTCAAAGAAGAAAGCAACCTTATTTTCAGCAGACCAGCTAATGATCTTTTTGAGAGTGTCTTGTAAGCTGGAATACCGGTTGTCCTTCCTAACAGTAACATGTACGTAGATATCATCAGCGTAAATAAAAAACTTGGTGCTCCTATTATTCAGTTTACAAAGATCCAACATAAAGCAATTGTAGAGAAAAGGCGATAAAATGGCTCCTTGAGGAAGACCCTTAGACATGAGCTCATCTGTTGATAGGATAGATCTCCACTTTACAGAAATAGTGCGATTGGTAATAAAATTGTAGATCCAACGCACCAGGGTAGTGTTCATACCCATCTTTTCAAGCCTTTCAATCAAAATCTCATGTTGCACATTATCGTAAGCTCCTTTGATATCTAAGCAAATTAAGTAATTATCCAAATTCTTGTTTCTGGCTGACCAGACAGAATCATAAATGTCTCTAAGACAGTCAGTTACGCAAATGCCTTTTCTAAAGCCATAAATATTTGAGGGAAAAATTTTTTCTGTGTCAGCCCACCACTCTAGGCGGCGCAGGATTATTTTTTCAAGGGTTTTCCCAATGACAGACGTTAAAGAAATTGGCCTGTAATTTGCAATCTGTTTCCCGTTTTTATTCGGTTTTAAAATCGGAACAACCCAGGAAGTTTTCCAGATTGTAGGAATATTACTTGATTGCAAACTTTCATTATACATCTCAAGAAGGGCTTTCTGCGTATATTTGGCGGCGACCCTCAGACTTTTGTAAGTAATTCCATCAGGACCCGGGGAGGAGTTTTTCTTACTCTTTAGTGCGTTCATTAATTCTTTGGCGGAAATTGGCTCAATATTAGCCAAAGGAAGGTCGATAGGAACCGGCTGGTTAGTATTGTCATTGGCGCTGTAATATTCTACGAAAATATCCGCCTGGGCAGCCTTGTCTAATACATCTGCGTTTGAGTGAGTGATCACGAAATTAGCTTCCAAGGGAGAGACCAATAGATATTTTTTAAGGTTTTTTACATTTCTATAGACTTGCTTGCAAGAATAAGCTTCATAGGAAATCTTTGCCCAGTACTTCCGTTTTGCTTTTATTAGCTCTCTTTTGTATTTAGCGTTTGCACCCTTATACTCCACCCAGTCGCTAGGATTAAGTGATCTTAGTGCCCTTCTTTTCAACTTATCTCTAAGATGTTTGAATTTGGCGCACTCCAAACTGAACCATGGGTTTTTTGGCTCGACCTTGTAGGTGATTTCTCTGGAGTGTGTCTTGATGGTACTGTTAATTACAGTGGTATAAGCGTTAACTTTATCCTCCATATTACCAGCGTGGCTCACAGGCAAACGTGACAGAGATATACTGACATCTCGCCAATTTGTATAGCTTTTAGTTTTCCCCGGTCTCTTCTTAAAACTTTGATTAAACTTAAGATACACAGGGAAATGATCACTTTGACCCGTATCATCGCGATATTGACATTTGCCATGCAAAGGTCGAGGATTCCTCCTTCTTGGCCACGATAAATATGAGTAGGTTTCTTATTATTTAGAATGATCATATTAGAGTCAATTAGCCAATTCATGAACTTTTGACCGCTGGGCGATGTAATTCTATCTCCAAAATTTCTATGGCGAGCGTTAAAATCACCAACCAAAATCGTAAAAGGATCCTTAAAGGAATCCAAGACCATTGAGTCTTCTGGTTTAAAACTTCCGGAAGGCCTATAGCAATTTACTATAGTAAATGATTTACCGTAAGCTTGCACTTTTATACTTAGAACTTCCATGTCAGATTTAATTCCAGTATCTGGAAGTTTGGAAGCAGGTAAATTTTTTAACACAAAAATGGCAAGGCCACCGCCTTTACTAGGGAAAATTCTTTCTTTTAAAAAACTGTTATATCCAGAGAGGAAAGGAACCCTAGGGTTCCGACTCCAGGTCTCCTGGAGACACACAACTGAGGGTTTTAACCAAGAAACAAAAGAAGACAAGAAACTCAAGTTCGCCTCGAAGCTTCGACAATTCCAACTTAAGATAAAGCACATGAAATTAGAAAGTATCATCATCAATTTGAGGAATTTCCTCTTCTTGAAGCGTGTCTGGCCCATTATTCCAAGATATCAGAGGAGTGACCTCCTGAATAGTGTTCAAATTTAGATGTTCTGTTTGAAGATTTTCATATGCAAGGCAGGTCTTTTCAAGATCCTCCTTGTATTTTTGGATTTGTTTTAGGGAGTTTTCATACAGGCTTCTAAGTTTTGTATTTTCTGTTTTAAGTTTGTTATTAACTTCCTTAAGATTTAAATTATCTACATAAAGAGAATCAATTTTCCTTTCGAGATTTTCTAATCTTGCGACTATCTTACTTAAAACATTTTCCCCTGGTTTCTCCGATACCACGCCTTTAGTATATTTATTTGTATTGGTGTTAGTAGAGTTTTGTTCTTCCTCTTTCTGGACAACTTCTGCCCAGGAACAATAACTGGAATTCTGGATAAGTTTTTTCGATGAAGATTCACGCTTCTGTCCGTTCGCTTCCCCTTTTTTGATATTTATTTTTGGGCAAGATTTGTCTAGAGCATTATGCTCACCTCCACATCTAAAACAACTGGTGTTGTTTTTACATGGGTCGTTGCAGTCATTTTTACCACAGTTCGCACATCTTGCTTTGCTTTTGCAGAATTTCGACTTGTGGCCTATATTACAGCACTTGTAGCATATTATAGTATTTTCGATATATTTACTTACCGCAAAATTTATTCGACCTATTTTGATATCAGGCCGATAACAGGAACCAAGTTCCTTAATCAGAATTATTGGCACTTTTTCTTCCGACCTAGGCTTTGTAAATCTTATGATACACGAAAATTTTATCTCGCTTTCTTCCAGGCCAGCTGCTATATCTTCTAGGCTAAGTTGTGTATCCACATTTTTAACTATATGTTTTGTTGTATACGTATCTTCAATTATATTGGCCTTTACTTCTACACCTTCCAAGGATTTTACTTTATAGACATTTTCTATTGTTTTAATTCTTTTCGTGGAAATTATGATTTTTTTCCCTCTCGTGATATATATATTATCTTCTTTATTAGTAATTTCATTTAAAATAGATCCTTTTTTAAGCAACTTACCTATCGGGATACCAGATTCAATTGCCTTCAGGACAATTTTGACCTCTTTTGTGCCATTTTTAAGAGCTAATTTGATCTTGTCAATAGGGGTTATGTCTGCACTATAAAAGTTCCCATTTGTTTTCCTCTCTTTGTTACTGCCACTGTCCATATCACTATCTGTTTTCCGCTTGAGTTCGTTAGGCATAATCCCTAACGATTCTTCTGAAAATAGACTACATTCGAAATACTGGAAAACCCGTAGAAAATAAAAACAAAAATACTTATCGCCTAACGAAAAACTATTTCTTGTCAAAAGCACTCACGTCTACTCTCTCCTTTAACACAAATTCCGAAACACTATACACTCAGGCCACGTCCACTATCTTCTCAAATACCGATTAGTCGACAAAAATCTTATGTCAATATTGAAATTGATAAACAGTTATACATATCCTAATTCCGATATCTTTTTTATTTTTGGCAACACTAATTTTGTTTACTTTCGTCCAATGCGGTGAACCAGAAACTGTGTGTGTATAAGTATTACATTTTTTAGAGATTTTCTTAAATATTATAAATATATATAACTTTATTAAATGAAAATGAATTTCGCCTTGTAATTCTTTTTAAAATGCTCTACCAGAGGTCAAAGGACTAAAGCTACATAGCATAGGTACTTTTCCCTGGTTAGATATATGTAGTTGAACAGTATAGTTGTGGAGGAGTTTTGTGATTTTTCCCATGTGTAATGTGACCATACATGCCGAATTTCCCGGGATAGTACCGAATTTTCAGTCCTTGTCCTGATTTTTTACAACTCGTTTTTTGGTCCCGAACTTACAGAATTTGTCCCGAAAAAGCGCAGTGTAAGAACGTAAATGTTTAACGACATATTTAAGTAGCGTAGATTGCAAAATGGAAATTCAAGCGTAAGTTAAGAGACACGCGTCATTACCGGCCGCATAAACGGATGATTCAACATCTAGCGTCTACCTTAGAGAAATTGTAATGGGGGAGTTCTAAGTAAAAATATATTTACGGGTGCCCCTTGGCGATTTTTGGCGGTACATGGACACCGAGTTTATGCAGTTCTTTGACTTGTGACTTTGGCTTTGTGTAACGGCGATTTCTGGCGCAACAATCTACACAAATCCAAAATAGCAAGTCAACCGATTTTCACTTAAAAAAATATCAGAACATTGCACAAACTAGGCATTGCGCACTCCCTGGAATTTGACCCTATACACATCGATCTAGGAAGCACTTCCGCAGAGAACCCGGTAAATGTAAACATTGCCAACTTTGGCGATAATAGTTCAAACCTGGTAACCTAGCTAATTCATCCTATTCGCTTGTGCGAAGGTTGTCGTTGTTCGCATTTGGAGATTTATATTATTCTTCTCTTATTTATTGTTATTTTTTCTGAATTTTTTAACAATGAATAGATAGAAATATTTTTGCATAATTAAAGAAGTTTTCGTCGAAAGATGCCGGTTCTCGGCTCATCAGTTCGGGATCAAAGGAAGACAATATGGCGGGAGGGGTGAATGCTAATTTGTGACATGCTGTTCATGTTATGTTCTTAATTATTAACAGCTGTAAGCATGCAGAGCCATGAGGTTTCCAAATCCTAAAATAATTTTAAAATGTACAAAGTTCTAGTTTTATTAACAATGCTACTGAAGAAAATTTGATTACTGTTGAAGGTTATTTGTATTGTGAAAATATATTATGAAAAAGGACAGGTATTTGTTTCAACATAAAATGCTTTAAGCTGTATGCAAGTAACTTAAAAAAAAAAAAAAAATACCGAAAACTATGCAAAATGGATGTATTAAAGGTCATGCATTCATTAATTTATTACATGGGCATGGCTCTTACCAAAATGCATCAATCAACAGGCAAAGTACTTAATGAAAAATGACACTTGTAATAGAAATATTAGTATTCTATATGAATTAGAGAAAATACATATAAGTATAATGTAAACGTAAGTATAAGAATACCAATTTTTATTTTCTAAATGAATTTCTACATCCCGTTATGCTTAATACCATGTTTTCTGTGCTAACTTGAATTTAATACAAATTTATTTTCGTATATCACGTTTAACCTGTTAGTTTTACATCTACATACTTATTATCTGTGAATTTTTACTACCATTGTCTGCTAACTTGAATTTACATACACTAAAAACCACGTTTACGGCTCGCCTCATCGAGGTGAGCTTGGCAAGTAAAAATGCAACGGCGCCAACGGGTTCTCTGCGGATGAAAACCCTCAATCTATATTCACTTAAAAAGTCAAAGGAGCAGGCAACAAAAAATATGTAATCACAATAAACTACATTTTAAATCAAACGATGAAATAATCTAAAAAGTTACTATTCCGTTTTGAGGACCTTAAAAATCGCCAAACTATTGAGCCAGTGCTGCACGCGGCAACTCTAATGCAGAAGAAGTATAATAGTAAAATATCTAAGATTTACAAGAAAGTTAATTCATATATTACTTTTTTATTAATAATTTAAAAAAGGCTAAACATTGAGAACAAGAGTAAAAATTTTAGATTGTGGCGTTCCGACAGATACTTCAACTTCTATTCATGAGATGGCGCCACGTGTAAAATCCAGTTCTTAATCGGAGCAGCAAAGCGACGTCATTACTCACTCAGACTTCTCGTCAGACAACTGTACGCGACGGTAGCATGAACTGTGTTCCGAGCTCTGTGTTGATCTCTGCAATGTAATTTAAATTGTAATTTAGTACTTAATATATTCTTTTGTTATAGGAGATTGTCTACTCTTATTTTCTTTAATTATATCATGCATTAAGCACACACGACCACCAAAAGTGGTGACCTTTTGACTGAGCACGCTACTGACAATGGATTTTCAACGACCCTAAGCCACGTGCATCCAAGGCATTCTGAAGAACTGACTAAAAATAACAACGAATATGGACATTAAACGTATGCTACAACGTACCCCTTCAATTATTTCTAGAAGTATTGATATATATTGCTTGTGTTTTTTTCAAAGTCGTGCATATCATCGCAAGGAGCTTCAGCAAATCATCAATGTGATCTGTTCCGTTCCGCTGACTTCGCCAGTCGTGCAATAATTCTTCGATCATTCAACTTTTGTGACAAATGTGATACAATAGTGATTTTCGCTAAATGTGCTACATCAGTAATTTTTCTGCAACGTGCTACGGCAAAATTCTTCCCTCAGTGTTCGAAAGTAGTGAATTTTTTTCCCATGTGCTACAGGAGTGATTTCCTTTTTTCCTTCGAAAGTGCCTTAGCAGTGTGAAGTGGTGATTTTGTGTGTGCGCAATACAAAATGAACGCATCATTTTTTTTCTCAAATAGGGGTTTCTTTTCAAATGCATTTCGGTAAAATATTATTTGTGTGTGTAATTGCTGACCCTGTATCTTATTTGTGTGTGTATCGTTACGTAAATTTTTTCTGCATGGTTAAAATATTTATTGTTATCATGGCAAAATATCAATAGTGTATCCTCTTGCTACAATATTTGTGCTGTTAAGTGTTTATTAATTAAAGTGAAAATTATCTATCAGTATGCCCGACGATATTCCACCAGAGCCACAAATCACACGCGTTGCGGTGAAGCCACCGCCTTTCTGGAAAAATAATCCTTCATTGTGGTTCGCTCAGATCGAAGCACACAATTTTCTATCGCTCGCATTAGTGAGGATTCTACAAAATTCAACCATGTAGTTGCAGCAATTGAGTCTGATATTCTGAATTCAGTGCATGACTTAATTCTCAAACCACCTGATTGTGATAAATACTCCAAACTGAAACAGCGGCTCATTGAAATCTATTCAGAAAGTGAATCTTCAAAAATACGTACTTTACTACAAGGACTTGAACTTGGAGATCAGCGACCTTCATACTTGCTGTCACGAATGCGTGATCTGGCAGGAAGCCATTTTAGTGACGACTTGTTGAAGTCACTATGGCTTTCGCGTCTCCCTAATAACATACAAATAATTCTTGCTGCTTCCAATGAAGATCTAACCCGTTTAGCAGCAATGGCTGACAAAATTAATGAACTTGTTACTCCAGCTTATGTCAGTGCTGCTAATGCTGCACCTTCCAGTTCATCCCTCGAACAACAAGTGGCTGAATTGACCAAAAAAGTATCTGAACTCTCTACAAGTCTTCATGCTTCACGGAGATACAATCGATCAAATCAGGGCCCACGTAATAAATTTCGTGCCCGAAGCAGGAGTCGATCTCGTCACAATACTCGAACGCAGTACAAAGAACCCACAAGTGGCATATGTTTTTATCATATGAATTTTGGCGCTCAAGCTCGCAAGTGTGCCCCTCCATGCACTTTTGAACAAGCGGGAAACTAAATGGGCGGTCTTCTGCTGGCCAACAGAATGTCCGCCACATCGACAGAATAGTACTGGCTGATCGTTCAACTCAGTTATGTTTTCTAGTAGATACTGGAGCTGACATATCAGTGCTCCCGAGAACTAAAACAAATGCTCACCAACTTAATAAACTTGTACTGTATGCAGCCAATGGTACCCAAATTGCAACCTACGGCACCAAACTATTGACACTTGATTTAAACTTGCGCCGGACTTTCAACTGGCCTTTTATTATTGCGGATGTAACTCAAGCAATTATTGGTGTCGACTTCTTGACACATTTCCACCTTCTAGTGGATGTCAAGAATAATTGCTTAATTGATGCTACAACTCAGCTGACATCACAGGGCCAAGCTTCTCACATATCGAACGTACCTACCAACATAAGTGTTGTATCGGGCAGCACACGGTTTCATCGGTTATTAGCAGAATTCCCTGACATTTTAAACCCATCCAAATCAGGGCAGCATACTCATCAGCCAGAAGTGTATCATCACATTGAAACACATGGCCCACCTGTATTTTCCAAGCCTCGTCGTCTTTCTCCAGAGATGCTAAAAGCTGCTCGCAAAGAATTTGAATTCATGCTAGCACAGGGAACCATTCGCCCATCTAAAAGTCCATGGGCCAGTCCACTTCACATGGTTAAAAAGTCTAATGGTGACTGGCGGCCTTGTGGAGATTATCGTCGACTTAATGCCGTCACAGTCCCTGACAGATATCCAGTCCCACATATCCAAGACTGTACCCATCTTTTTCATGGAACAAACATATTTTCTACCCTCGATCTTGCCAGAGCATATCATCAGATCCCAGTGCATGCTGAAGATGTGCCCAAGACCGCAGTGACTACACCATTTGGTCTCTTTGAGTACTTATATATGCCATTTGGCCTTCGCAATGCTGGCCAAACATTTCAGCGTTTCATACACCAAGTACTGTCTGGCCTCGATTTCTGCATCCCATATTTTGATGATATCCTGGTTGCATCTACAGATGCGGAAGAACATTTTCAACATCTGCGTCAGATTTTCACTCGCCTTAAAGATCATGGATTAAAACTAAATCCATCCAAATGTGTACTTGGTCAACCCTCAGTTTCCTTTCTTGGATGTCTTATCACCCAGAATGGAGTCAAACCTTTACCGGAAAGAGTCAAAGCAATTAACGACCTACCTCAGCCCAAAACCATCTCTGAACTGAAGCGTTTTCTAGCAATGTTAAATTTCTACCGACGCTTTCTGCCAAATGCCGCAAAAACAC